TTAATATATATATATATATATATATATATATATAAGATTTTAAATTTTAATACTATATTGACTAATAATATTTATATACAATTTTTTTAAAATTATACGTACTAATTATTTATTATCTAAAATCATCTACCTTCAAGAATAAATTAAATGAAATATATTGTCATGTTGGAAATACTTAATTATAATTAACCAAAAAATTAAAATCGATAAATTTTAATAAATAAAATTCGGATATACATTTCATCTCAGTTCTTATAATTTCTAGCCACCAACCTGATTCCAAACACATTCCAAATTAATAATATATGAGTTTAATAATGATGCACCAGTAATGTAAAGAAATTATATATTATTATTCAATGACAATTTATGTAGATAATAAATATATTAACTATTATAATAACCACTTTAATAATTATATAAATCATAATTTTTAATAATCGATTGAATATGATTTTTTTTTATTCCGAGAATATTATACCCATATATAATTTATTCATGTTTAACAGGAGGATGGTTTAGCAACAAAGTCGAGTGAGCATGTATCTAGCAAGAATCCAATGGACACGGATAGTAGCACGCCAGCACTTTACAACAAGGAGGAGCTGGGAGGTAACAAAAGGAAGAAGAAAATAGTGGACAACATGGGGCGAAGAAGGAAAGAGTGTGTGGAGATAGCAGAAAGCTTACGATGGCTAGCAGAAGCTATGGTAAGGTCAGAACAAGCGAGAATGGAGACAGTGAAGGAGATAGAGAGGATGAGAGTCGAAGCTGAGGCCAAACGAGGGGAAATGGATCTTAAGAGAACTGAAATAATTGCCAATACACAGTTAGAGATTGCTAGGATCATTGCTAGTGTCAACAACAATAAAGGTGTTGATTCTTCCTTGAGAATTGGAACAAGTTAGGGTTGGTTGTTGAGGCTGCTTAATAAAATGTTGTTGTTGTAAGTGCACATAAAGTTAGAGAATAATATTATTAATATATTAATTGGTAATATAAAAAAGCAAGTTTAGTTTTTAGAACAAGTTAAGTTGACGCATGTAATAGTAGAAAAATAAAATTAGTTAAAGGATGTTTGTGTAACTTACTCATTGTTGGTATAACATTAATCAATAAAAATTAATATCTTTTTTTGGTACAAAGTATCTAATGACTTCTTTGATGATTAATTTTTTTCAGAAAATTTATCTAATTATTTTTAGTAGGACCTCTCCATCCAATAATATTTTTTTTATACATGATTCAAACTTAAGAAGATCAAATTTATTATCACTTAGACTAATGATTTATTGGTATATAAAATCACCATCCTTATAATTATAAGGCAACTATTCTAAAAGTTAACAAATTTACTATATAAGTTAGTTTATAATTGAATGATAATATGAAAATTATTTATACCATGAGTGCTTACACTATTTAGTTAAATAAAATTTGAGCAGAAAATTTATTAACGGAGAAAATTTTTAAATAATTTATGGACCGAGAGTTAAAGCTACGTTGTTATGTAAAATAAGTTTATTAGTTATTATAATAATAACTTTAAAATTTATGTTACAACTTTTTATTGGTTGATGGTATAAAATTTTGCACTAATTAAAATCATAAAATTTTAAAATAATTTACATTTATTTATTTTTTTATCTCTCTATTACATTTTATTTTACATATTTCTCTTTTTTTCTGTTCTTTTTGAGGGAAATAAGATTATGTCATTTCATTCAAAATAATTGGAACAATACATGAGGGAATAAATTCAAAAGTGTGAGAGCTAGCATAACATCGTGACGCGTAGCTAAACAGTGAGCGACCCAATTAGCTTGCCTCGGAATGAACTTTAGTGATAAGAAGAGACCCATATTCTGAGTGGTGTGATTGAGTTCTAGATAGAGCGTCAAGGACATATTTACAATCCGACTCAATAGTAACGTGGGTGAGGCTCAAAGTTACTATCCATTGGATGGCTGTAGCTTCAGCCTCATGATTTGTTATAAAAAAAAATTGATGCATAAATAATGCCACATAAAATTAATCAGTTTGATATTTTGAAAAAGAAGACTTTCAATGGAAGAGGTGTAGTCACTACCAAATTAACATTCAAAGAATCTATAGCTAACTTTAACTTCCCTACAATGTCAACAAAGATAAAGTGGTGTGTAGTACCCGAGTCAAATAAGATAGAAACATCCTTACTTGTTACATTGTCCTTCCCTTTCACAAGATTTATGGAAATGGAAGCTTCAACACTAGTCAATATAAAAACTCGACTTATAGTTGTTGGCCTCTCCACCCTCTGTACTCTTGGTCTAACTAGTCTTTTTTGGATAATCCTTGGCTATATGCCCAAATTTACTACATTGGAAACATCTATAAGTGGTAGTCGTGTTATCCCTAGCAATGTGAAGGCCTCTACATCTATAACATTTCACACTATAAGTGCCTCTCCTAGATGCATCAGAAGGCTTCATTATGACAGAACCCCCTTAATAAGATTGGAGTCTATCATAAGGCTTCTTATAATTGTCTCCCTTTTTGGACCTAGTTGGCCCTTCATCAATCTACAAAGCCCAACTACCTCTCTTAAGTCTCTCCACCACCTTTGCCTTTTCAACCTACAAATTTAGTAATGGCCAACAATACCACTATTCCTTTCAACTCATACTTCAACCCTTCTTTTCACCACATGCTCAAACTTCATAGCATACTCAAAGACTTAAAAACTCCCTTGGTGCAACCTCACAACATTTTAAACTACCACTCCTTTACCCATTAATAACTATTGAATACCTCGCCAACAATACTTTATCTCCTGTATTAACATGTATATTGCATAAGCAGGTTTCCTCTCATTAGTACAACCTAATATCGTAAAAATCATTTCCATCTTGTAAATCCAATGATTAACAAATTATGGATCTACATCTCCCATGAACTAAGGAGGATGCCATTTCGTGAACTCAGCCAAGCCCTTATTCCCCCTACGACCTCACTAGTCTTTTTGCCTCAGTTGCAACTCTATTCACCTCCACTTGAGAAAAGTGGGCATTCTATTGTTGCATGGATATGACCATCGTCTCCATGGCATAGGCTATCTAATCGTATTGGGATCCAACCATATTCTACAAAGATCAATAAATCCATTAAGTAAGACTCAACAACAACAACAACTACAATACAACATATACAACTTACAACTACACAATAGAAGCAAAGCAGGTTCATCCCTACAAAGTATCCCTAAAAGACTTTATCAACTCTGATACTGTAAAAGTGTAATGACGTGACAAGTCTATATACTTACTATAGTTTAGTCACTATCCAATGGAAAATATTAAAAAGCATACAACTAACCTAGGGTAATCATACATACTAATACATTTATAAGGTAGAAGATTTAAAGCGTTTTTTTGTATACATATACAATCTACATAAAAACACATACAAAAGTATATAAATAACTGTACTTATCGGTCAAGCGATGATACAAGGCCATACTACAACCAAACAACATCACAAAAGGAGTCATCCCTGACTCGCCACCAAAAACATCCAAAATGAACTTGCTAATCTTGTCACACTCCTATATCAAATATGATCATTGTAGCTCCAACCACAAGAAAAAGGGGTAAGCTTGTAAAAAGAATCAACATGTAATAAAAATATTGAGTAACAATTTGAATCAAATAAGAAAAAACATTCAACACAACATAGAACTTCCATTAATCACCGAGTACTACACAAACAACTTGCAACTTATTACAACATATAGCAACTCGAACATATTACATTCTCAATCATCAACATCAATATTCCACTAATGTGTCACCACACATATCAAATAAGGAGATCTCTAACAATAGAGGTGAGTGGTTTAAGTGGCTAGACCTTATCGAACCACAATATTTGACCAATTGCAATCAGGTCAGGTATAGACAACTACAACCCTCTTAGAGAACTTGTTTAACAACTTAATTTGATTTCTCAAATTTTTCCACTTAAACTAGAAAGTCTAGTACTTTGTCAAGGTAACACAATTTGGATATGAGCCTACCACGACATTAGCTTGCAACACTAAGCCCCCTATGGGATTAGCCCACCGACCACCCTTTAAATAATATGCCTGATGGATTCCTCCTTCCATGAATGACGTAGGGATTGAAATCGTTCAGAATTTTAAATAGAGTTCCTAGAGGGACTTAGGGTTAACACCACCTGATTCCTTTCTTAAAATTAATCAATTGGACTGGGTCAACCCAACCCATTTTCCTTCTCTTCTAACTCACTTCTAATTTTCTTCAAAATAATTAAATAAAATAAATACATATATATTATAAAATATTTTTCCTCTATAATAATAATATATTTCTGACCCTAAATATAATAATATAATTTCAATAACAAAATATCATATAAAATCAACCTTCTCTTAAAA